TGCTGTGAGCTGTGATGCCATGGCACTCTACCCAGGGGTGACAGCTTGAGGCTCTGTCTCAAAAAAAAAAAATCTGGAGGTCGTGCCAATACCTTCAACTCTAATCTAACACTAGAAGTTATTTCTATCCCCACCCATTCCATAATTCTAAAATCAAGAACCTGGTTCCCATTAGCCATAATACATTTGTTTGTTTGCTTAGTCCAAGGAGACCCAGAAGTTACATTCCAAATTGCTAACCGATACCCTGTGAAGAAGCCTCCTTGCTAGAGTTCAGTGTTTGTTCATAGTTCTTCAGCTCTGTGGTACATGTTCCAAATATTGTGCCTGGAAATTACTTGGATTAGTTCTCCCCTTCTACTCTCCTTACTGTGATCTCCCCCATCCTTGTTGGTTTTATTTATTCACCTAACACTTATTTATTTAATACATGCAACCCTAGTGTGATTTTAAAAGTCAGAACTGGCTTGGCGCCTGTGGCTTAAGCGGCTAAAGCGCCAGCCACATACACCTAACGTGGCGGGTTCAAATCCTGCCCAGACCCGCCAAACAACAATAATGGCTGTAACCAAAAAATAGCCAGGTGTTGTGGTGGGCGCCTGTGGTCCCAGCTACTTGGGAGGTGGAGGCAGGAGACTCGCTTGAGCCCAGGAGTTGGAAGTTGCTGTGAGCAGTGAAGCCATGGCACTCTACCCAGGGGAACAGCTTGAGGCCCTGTCTCAAAAAAAAAAAAAAAGTCAGAACTATACAAAGTGGCCACCTTGGAGAGGGCTCAATGTCTGATTGCCATTTTATATACTCATTTGGTAGACAGTTATATAAAAAGATGAGCAAATAGAAAGCATTTTGTGTATCACCTATTCTCAGTCTTCTGTAGTCCTTCCCAGAGAGAAACCAGGAGAAACCTTCATGGTGTTTGCTGTAGGATTATGTGTGTGCTTGTGGGTGTTTTGTTTTTCCTGCCTCATGTCATATCTTAGATTTCTTTCCAAGTTAGCCTTTGTCCACTTGCCTTGTTTTTTCTAAAGTCATCAGAGTAGACATAGCCATTGCTTGCTGTTTTGAATTAAGTAATTCTTTTTTTTTTCTTTGTAGAGATAGAGTTTTACTTTATCACCCTCGGTAGAGTGCTGTGGCATCACAGCTCACAGCAAGCTCCGATTTCTGGGTTTAGACGATTCTCTTGCTTCAGCCTCCCCAGTAGCTGGGACTACAGGCACCTGCCACAATGCCCGGCTATTTTTTGGTTGCACCCGTCATTGTTGTTTGGTGGGCCTGGGCTGGATTCAAACCTGCCAGCTCAGATGTATATGGCTGGCGCCTTAGCCACTTGAGCCACAGGCGCCGAGTCTATATCCTTTTAGTTTTGAAACTACTGGGGTCAGTCTAGACATAGTTAGTTTCCATTTAGTGAGTGGTTTGGGCAACTTCCTATATCAAGCCAATTCATATTTTCGTGCTAAGTACTCAATTTCAGTTAATCAGTCAAATTGATAGCTATTTAGGCTGCTTCCAGAGATGTGGCACAAAGCAGTCCTGTGTGTCCTGTTTGCTCAGCTCCTCCCCTGTTGGTGGATGTCAGTTTATGCCTTTTGTCATGCTATGTATGTTGCTGTAGTGAGCATCCTTATACATTATGTGTTGGGTTGCCATTACAAAATACCATAAGCCAGAGGGCTTTAACAGCAGAAATTTCTTTCTTTTTTTTTTTTTT